GGAAGGGGGGGGGGAGGAGGGAGGGGAAGGGAAGAGAAGGGAAGGAAAGGAAAGGAAAGGAAAGGAAAGGAAAGGAAAGGAAAGGAAAGGAAAGGAAAGGAAAGGGCAAATCCTAGAGAACTTCTAGGAATAGAAATTTCTGCAGCTGCAGCAAAGAATGTCCTTTCTTCTTCCCTTCTCTGCCTACTGAGAGGGATGTCTACAGTATCTTAGAAACTTTGAGGCAGGACTATAGCTTTATTATTTATTCCAATTAAATTTGGTTATAAACTGTAAGCAGGGAAGGATGACTGATGTTCCATTATTTACATATGTTATTAGCACTTTAATTTATTAGCTAATACTCTCTCCGTTCCTTTTTGACATCTACATGAAATCACTGGGTGAGATCATCCACCATCATGGAATGAGGTATCATCAATATGCAGATGATACCTAGTTATACATCTCCATCCTGGATGACTTGAGTGATGCCGTAACCACCCTTCCACAGTACCTGGAGGCTGTGGGGGTCTGGATGGGGTGCAACAGGCTTCATCTGTAACCTGGTAGGACAGAGTGGCTGTGGATTGGAGGCCCCTCTGTATCCAAGAATTTACTATCTTTGGTTTTGGATGGGGTGGCACTGCCCCAGACAGGCCCAGTGTGTAATCTGGGGGTCCTCCTGGACTCATGATTCCTGCTCGAGGAGCAGGTGGAAGTCGTGGCCAGGAGGGCCATTGCCCACCTTCATGTGGTATGCCAGTTACACCCTTTCCTGGATCAGGAGGCTCTCTGGTCACTCACTCATGCCCTGGTCATCTCTCAGTTAGATTACTGCAGTGCACTCCACATGGGGCTATCCTTGAAGAGTATCCGGAAGCTACAGCTGGTTCAAAATGTGGCCACGTGGATAATCTTGGGTGCCCCAAGGGTGGCACATATAACACCTTTACTGCGGGAGCTGCATTGGGTGCCAATTTGCTTCTGGGTCCAATTCAAGGTGTTGGTGATCACCTTTAAAGCCCTACATGGCACGGGTTCAGGCTACCTGAGGGACTGTCTCACCCCCATTACATCAACCACTCGATCAGACAGAGAGGGCATGTTGTGTACCCCATCAGCAAGAGAATGTCAGCAGGCAGGGTCCAGGAGGAGAGCTTTCTCTGCCATTGCCCCCACCCTTTGGAATATTCTCTCCCCAGAGGTGCGGTAGGCCCCTACTCTCCTGGCTTTCCAGAAAGGGCTAAAGACCTGGCTCTGCCAGCTTGCATGGGGTGATGGGAGCTCTGATCAATCCTGGGGGTGGCTGGCACCCTCATGACGCTCCCTGAGCTACTCGCCAATTCCACCAATACTTGAAATCTATTATTTAAGACTTCTTTTACATTGTATTTTAATTGATTTTATCTTTTCTGTAAACTGCCCAGAATGGCTTTTTAACTAGATGGGCGGTGACAAATTTGATATATAAATTTTAAAAAATTAAAAAAATAAAATAATCTTCTATTATCTACCTCCAATTTTGGCAGTAGGAATGCTAGAACTGGAATATTTTACTTAAATAACCTGGTAAGTTAATCCTGTTTGTGAAGAGCTAGTATAGAAATCCACTACATTAATAATGGTCGTCATGAAAATTTTAAGAATAAATAGAATGCATCTCTTTAAAGCAATTGATTTTTAGACCTCATCCATTTTTTTACCAAGATACTCTGGGAAGACTTTTTGAAAGACAGTAAAAGCTTTTACTCCTTATTTTACAAGTGTAAAATTAATAGGATTCTGCCTGAAACTCATTCTTCATTCTCTGCTAATCCTAGTGGGTTGAGTGTCTTTTGCTGAATTCATTCCAGAGACCTGGAATATCCATAGAGACTGATACAACAGGAGAAATACCCTGACAGCTGTAATATGAAGCATTGTAAACAACATTTTTAAAGGGAAAAGAAAAATTAATGGACACAGGCTTGAGCTGTTATTTGAATGGATTTAGAAAAGGTATAGAATTGTGTTTCCAGTAATTGAAAGTCAAAGTGCAAAAAAAAATTGCAGATAACTCTCTTCTAAGATATATGATTCCCTCTTATTATTGATTTTTCAGGTTTTTCTCTGTTCCCCACCTATCAGATTTCCATGATCTGCTCTCCGTGTTTGGTGTACGGATGGTGCTGTTTTAGTTACATTTTATTACTCAAAGAATGAATTCCATATGATGTGTGTGTTTGTGTGATATGCAATAATGTGCAAAGATATACTCCAATATATTCCATTAAATCATTACTGACAATCATTTAATATATGTCAGTACTTCAGGGCTATATTTTATATAAGAGATCTGTGATTTCTAGAAGTTGGGATGCGCTTCAGGTATGATTACAGCAACAGCCCTAGTAGACATCTCATTTCTTTTTTCCAATCACCACCTGAACTTAACAAAAAGAAAACAGCAGTAGGATGACTGAGTTATGATTTAGATTAACAAAACAGTGAAAGGGAAATACTTAAATTTAGGAGTGTTTGCATCTACCTTCAAATAAAAATAAAAATAATGAAAATTCCAGGAAGGATTGCCCATAGAACAAATAGTACACCTTTATGGACATTTATACTGTAATACATAATATTGAAATAATGCTTGTTTCAATAATATGTAATTTTCTCTTAAATTTACTATATCCGCTGTAAACCTTAATCAGATGTACGAGCTTGGATATAATTTTTCATCAATGTCTGGAGTGAAATTTGTTAAAGAAAGTCTTAGAGTTGGCATAATATTCTACCTATTTTGATATTTAGTCTTGGCAGTAGTAAATCCTGCAAAACCACTTTTATAAATATATGTTAAAGGAAAAGGTAAAAGCTCTTATCTTAACCATTTATATTATGCTCTATGATTTTTCTTTCAAAATTCTTTTTTTTTTTTCAGTCGTTTCAATCTGATGCCTAGGTAGAAATTTATCAGTATCTCCTCTTTGTTCAAGGACAGTGATTGGGCACTTCACTGACAAACCAACAATAGCAAGAAGTTAATGTTCTTATGCTTCTAGTATCACTCATTGTATGAGCCTCCAGGAAAAGTCTATTTCTACTGAGTATTCAGTGCAAATAAAAAGGCTGATGAAAGTAAGCAAACTTAATGAACTGTCCATCTGTCATATAATCAGTGTTTTCCACTGCTGTTATTTCCATTCTGATTTACAAACCATTACTGTAAAGAATTTGAACAGCATAATTATCTTGAAAATATATTAATTTATTAAGCTTTGTTCCTACAGGAGGTTTATGGATACATATCTGAGAAGAATTCCTAACGAAGCATTCTCCAGTCTCCCCAACATCTCCAGGATGTAAGTTTTTACCCCGACTGTTTTCTTAAAATAAACAGTATTGCTCACTTGCTTGTTTGATGCTATGTAATGCTGCAGGCTAAACAGCAAGGATTGAGTGCCAGTTTGGTGTAGTGGTTAAGGCATCAGGCTAGGAACCGGAGACCGTGAGTTCTAGTCCCACCTTAAGCATGGGCTAGTCGCTCTCTCGCAGTCCTAGGAAGAAAGCAGTGGCAAGCCACTTCTGAAAATGCTGCCAAGAAAATTTCAGAGACTTGCAGGAGCTTGGTGAAGTGATAGGAAAATAAATTATCTTGCCTCAGATTTCCTGTATTTTCTGAGTCATGTCAATATATACATAGAGTTCAAAGGAACTTCAACAAATCTGTTCAAACAATTTCAGCCATGCTTTTGAGGGGGGCATTTTTGGGACTTTGAGGGAGCCTGAGAGTGAATGGACATCCTGACTGATTATTTTATTACCAATCTCTTATGTTATTATGTTATACTCCTATTGGGTGTGTCCTACTGTTTTGACATTTACTTTTGAATTTGATGTTTGCCATTCAACTGTGTAAGTATGTATGTGTATGTACACACACACACACACACACACAGAGTATCTTAGCTGTTCCTAGCACTGCACTCTTCTGGACAGAGAGCT